ATAAATATTAAGTATAGCAGGCAGATCCTACCTCATTCCTGACACTAAGACAAAGTCCTTGTGAGTGTAAACACACTTGGCAATAAAGCTCTTTCTGTTTCTGATTCTGATTCTTTTGGCTCTTGGAAAGATACTGTTTGGATTCCATTTCTACCACAACTTTACTTTAATCTCTGTATCATTATTTTATTTATTTTTTTCATTTAAAATGAATTAAAAATAGCATTGATGTGTAACGAGACTTTGTGACATTATGAAAGACTATTCTGAGAGGCAATATCCAATGAATTCCAAAATGTGAACCAACAAAATCTGCACACAAAATCTGAACTGAAACTAGCAAAAATTTCAAATAAACAAGTTTGTTGTGCCTGTTTGTAGGGCTGCACAATTTAGCCATGCATTTTGTTTTACAACACTATAAGTGTGTCCCATCAGGTAATGAAAAGATCGACACACACTTGCGGTCTTTGCACTTGACCACTTATATGACGTATTTCCTGTATTTGCCCCAAGTGTTCAAGTGAGCATAAAGACCACAAGTGTGTGTCGATCTTTTCATTACCTGATGGGACACACTTATAGTGTTGTAAAAATGCAAGTGTTTACATAGCTTTATTTTCATTTTAATTTGAAATACTTTGCATTGTTTAGTTCCAACCCAGCTTGAACACACATACCATGTAGTTTTCAAATAAGCCTAAATGATTAGATTAGCTGGATCAGATGTGTTTAATTAGGGCTATATCTAAACTGTGCAGGGCTGTGGCCCTCCAGGAACTGAGTTTGACACCCTTGGCCTATCCCAAGTTTGCTTCCCTCCCACTGTTAAAATGTAAGTAATTTAGTACATTTTAAATTAGCTACTTTTTAGTTTTACTTGAGTAGATTTTTAGACTGGTACTTTTACTTGTACTTAAGTAAAATTTCATTAATGTAATGGTACTTTTACTTGAGCAGAATATTTTCGTACTCTTTCCACCTATGGTTACATTACACAACTGCATTTAAAAACATATTCTCATTTTAGCAGAGATTTTAATAATTAATATACAATAATTAAGCGTGAATGTGTATTAAGGGTAGCACATCCATCACACATATGTAAAAATATGTATAAATATTTAAGATTTAAAAAAAATTGGACTGCTAGTGAGCTTGGAAAATGAGAATAAATAGATATACATGAAACACAAATAAATAAAAATAAAATATAAATTAATTAAACACAAAAACTAAATAAATATAACATATTTATTATAACATAACTTTGTGAGATCGTGATGAATTAAATGAGTAACTGCAAAGGAACGCTCTTTGTGCCATAGCAATTAACGGCAAAAAAATATTATGGTTAGGCCTATCTAAATAATATTAAGGTTAGATCACCCTCACCAATTTCACTGATTGTAATTATTAATAATTATCTCATTGCTCTGTAACTATTTAACATAACATGCTGAATGTGGCTCAAATTTGCCTAATATGACAAGTCTGCCTGTTAGGGCATCATTGTATTTATAAAACAAGTACTAATACAACAGCAATAAATATTAAGTATAGCAGGCAGATCCTACCTCATTCCTGACACTAAGACAAAGTCCTTGTGAGTGTAAACACACTTGGCAATAAAGCTCTTTCTGTTTCTGATTCTGATTCTTTTGGCTCTTGGAAAGATACTGTTTGGATTCCATTTCTACCACAACTTTACTTTAATCTCTGTATCATTATTTTATTTATTTTTTTCATTTAAAATGAATTAAAAATAGCATTGATGTGTAACGAGACTTTGTGACATTATGAAAGACTATTCTGAGAGGCAATATCCAATGAATTCCAAAATGTGAACCAACAAAATCTGCACACAAAATCTGAACTGAAACTAGCAAAAATTTCAAATAAACAAGTTTGTTGTGCCTGTTTGTAGGGCTGCACAATTTAGCCATGCATTTTGTTTTTATATATCAATATGGTCTAAACTATTTTATTATTGTTGCATTCTTGTATGAATTAATTCTGTGCTATCATGGAGGTTGAAGCTCCATCTGCTAGGAAGCGGCTACTTTGAACTGATTTAAATGCTTTAAATACGTTTTTGCATGCTAACAAATGTGATTGTCGAATATGCGGCTATGCAATAGAGATGCATTCACTGTCAAATATCATTCAGCATTAATTTTGTAATTTTGTCAATTTTTTTGCTTGATTATATATCTTGTTGCGATTTATGTCATGTCTTTCATGATTTAAGTTAACATTTCAAGTGATATAGTTAAGACTATTCTTTTTTTGCAATTGAAAGTAAAATTGCTTAAATTATATCAGCGATTTCTCTCATTTTAAAGATATTATCGAGAATCCTTTTATTTCAATCTGCAGTCTAATAAAAGTTGTTAAAAATAGAATTAGGCCTAACTTTTAACTTTTTCTAAAAATGTATTAAAAATATTTAAATCAAATTTATAACAAAGAGGCTACTCTTCATAACGATTAAATGAACATATTATACAATTTTTCACAAACATTTTATAAAATCACAAATATGACATGAAATAAAATCATTTTATATATAGTTTAATTATATATAATAGTTTTGTGTCAAATGGATGAGGAACTTACAGTGCCTTGAATTTATCTGCAGTTCGTCTGTTGGCTGTTAAGAGTGCTGTTTTGACAGCACAATGGGAGCAAATACTGATTTATATGACTTTTGTTACTGAGTAAATGTACCAGTTATGTTTTATTTTATTCTGATCAGTAACATGGAAGCTGTAAAAAAAAAAAGCTTACTGTTTTAAAACAATTTTAATGCCTTTTAGACATACATGAGATAATGAATACTGTATTGCTTGACTAAACGTTTAAAAATAGCACTAATGTTATAAAAATTAAACACGTGTCTGAAAAGACATAATTAAGTGTGTCTGCACAAGCAATAATTCAGAAAAGAAAGAAACATCGGTTTTATTGCAATATAGACCGTGTGACTACAATGGGAGCTGATTAAAGATAATTACATTTTCAGCAACCAGTATCCATGATTACAGTGCAGAGCTCCAGACCCTATATCAGTTATCAGATATATAAAGCAAAGAAATCTGTATCATTATAAAAACAAATTAATATCGGTCCATCTCTACTGTTTATGCAAAGATCCTGAATCTCAGAGGACAGAAACTTGCTAAACTTAATTAGTGTATGCTCTTATAATGTCAATGAGAGTGCTTTTGAAGAATAGTACATGTACAGAATAATAAAGAATAAATTACAAATACAACTTCTCTTTTCTCAAATTTATGAGAGCATGTACAGCAGAACTGTCCTCTTCGTCAAAAAAAACTGAGAATTACTGTTTAAACAATCTTCAGGAAGCGAGACAGAGGGAGAAAGTGAAAGGAATGATGGACAATGTGAGAGAAAGGGGGAATAAGATGAGGTTGGGCACACTTCTGAAGTTGGAGGATGCTGCATTGAATGCAACAAATCCAGGCTGTTTGCTGCCCGTGTAAGACTTGATCCAGTTCTGGTGCTTAGAGACTCTAGCAAACCCATTGGGATATTTGGGGTCAGCACACGAGCCTCTAATAAAATTCGCAATGCCGGACTGAATCCACAGGGAGCCGTTCCTAATGACCATTGGACCTCCAGAGTCTCCCTGTATTGATAAACATTCAGCATTTATATCTCTGACAGTATACAGTGAACAACTGTTACAGACATAAGTATGCAGCAGTGTAGCCCAATGGTAATAGAATGCCAGCCATCAAAGCATTTTTTTCCTGAGGCCAGTATACATTTTTTAATTGTTTGCAAAGGGAGCGCTGAGTGTTTTACTCTTGTCACCATAAGTGTTTCTCAATACACAAACTCGTGCTTCCTCGTTTCTTGTCTTTCTTGTTGAAAGCCTGACACGCACATAAGTTTTCCTCCCCCTTTACATCTGTCACAATAATTTAATATCTTTAATCATTTATGTTTCATTTGCTGTTTAAATAAAGCATATATCTCACGTATTTCAACAGAGCATCTTGAGTTATTATTAACCATTTTGAATTTCTCAAAGAGATGAGGACATGAGAAATAAAATTTGCCTTGATTTGTTAACATGAGAGGATTTTTGACATGTAAAATGTCCTCCTCATTACAAAAAAAAACATTTTAAAAGATCCAAAACCACATTAAATATAAAAAATGGCTCATTTGAATACAAAGGTGCCTGTATTGCCACACTTTTGCATATGACCATCTCCAGAGCAAGACATTGACCGATATTGATGCATCATGATCAGCATATTAGGCAATTGACGGTATCAAATTTTTACGTTGCTAAAACTTTTATCATGGTTTATCACTTATTTTACAGTATTATCGTGATAAAAATGTGCTGTCATACTATAACATGTTTAAAAAAAAAATCTTATAACAAACAGAACTCTAAACATCAAAGAAAACACTACTCAATGTATAAAGTAAACATCATTCAAACAGATTAAATTGCAAAATAATTAAACAACAGATAACACTAAGCAATAAAGTCTCATTAGTTAATGATAGTTAGTGCATTACCTAACAATAACAATCAGGGGCGGATCTAGAAAATAATTTTTAGGGTTGCAAAGGGGTGGCAACACCAAAGCAAGCCCCCATGCATAGTTTTTGGGGATTTATGGTCTGACATACACAATTGTGTTCAGAAATATTGTATTACAATTAATTAATCATCTATACTGTTTAAAATGAAAACTAAATAACAACATTTCAATATCCATCATGGCACCAAACTTTGAAAGGTTAAACATGTTTCTGAGCTTGTATCACTAAAGAAGACATGCGGTTCTATTAAAATGACATAGGCTACTTAGATGGTATAACCACGTGTAGTGCAAGTTTAAGAGCAACAAACACTTTTGAATTTCCGAACATTAGAAAGAAATACAGTAATATCAAAACACTGAAACTGGATCAGTTTTGAAAACAATTTTTGATTTTCTGATATTAACAGAGGTGGAAATGTCTGTAATCACCCAGAACAAACTCTATCGTCCATATACTCTAGCAACAGCAATATAGCTGTCACGAATCCTGTCCATGGACTTCCGTTCAATTACCACCAGAGGTCACCCTTCCATTACATTCCATGACTCTCGCACTACACAAACTGTTGCATGTCATCCTGGACTACATATCCCATCATCCATTGCACTGATTGCACACAGCACTGATTGCACACAGCTGTAACCAATCACACATTCACTATATAACACTCACTCAAACAACCATTCACTGCCGAGTATTGTTTAGCGCATATCACTCACCTAGCGATTGCTACTCTACGGAGCCATTTCTAGTTCTCATTGTTTAGTCATAGTCTTGTCTTGCCTGCTTTCCCGTGTTACCGGATTATTACCTGTTTCTCTTGGATTAACCCTTTGACTGCTGTTTCGGACTGTGTTTGCACCTCGCCTGGACTCTAGCTTGTGTTATTGGATAACCCCTCGTGTCAAGCCCTCTGGGTATTGTTAGCTGCTGATCGACCATGCCAGTTTTGGATTACTCTTCTGTCTTACCCTTAAAATACCTGTTTGCCATTGTCTGACCCATGCCTGTTTCATGACCACACCCTTTAATAAAGCCTTGCAGATGGATCCGCACATCTCACGTCTCGTTCGTCCTGTAACAATAGCCACATTTGTTAAAAAAATGTTCTGTGTTAACATTAGTTATAAAACACAGCTGATCTTTGTTAGTTTAGGTTAATTAAATAATACAGTTACAACTTTTGATTTTGTCATTGTCATTTTCATTGTCAGTTCATTGTCACATATGAATTAACACGTTTAAAAGCGTTACTGAAAAATAATAAAGAATCAGAACAATTTAAATCAATATCTTGGCCATGCTTGAGCTTGAAAATAAATAGCCTGTAATGTATCTAAATACTTGGTGCTGAGATGAATTCCAAAGTCTGAATACTAAAGTCTGAATGGCTGTTTAAAGGTGCTACACATTTTTTTTTTTTTGACTGTACTAAAACTTAAAAATACCAAAATATGTTTGCACAAATTTAGAAAACATGCTAAGTTCACATCATTGTTTCATTGAAAAACAATGCTACAGCCAGTTATTCTACTTTGAAATGTGGAGGAACGCAACCTCACACTTACTCGTGTAATGGCGGCCACACTAGAGCACGCTCACAAAATAGGGGACACAACCTTTGTCCTATGTTTTGTCCTATCGTTATGTCACAGCTGCCAATCCTGAATCAAGTCAAGTCACCGTTTATCTTCATGAATCTAGTCAAGTCACGGTTGATCTTCATGAATCAAGTCACTGCATTCTGGTGTCAGAAATCTGTTGTTGTTTGAAGCCAAAACATTCTGGCTGGCAGCAATAAAAATCCCCTCCTCTCCATGTAAATCAACAGGTAACCACTCTAAAACACGTCCTCTGATGCTGCCTGCACAAGGCAGCGCCACAAAAAGGGTGTGAGAGGGGACAGGAATGCAGCAAGTGTGGAGGCATACGAGCTAGGCTAAGGGCTTCTAACACTTATGCTGTCAACTGTGCACTCATTGGAAAATAAACTGGACTTAATTTAACAACACTAGAACTACCAGAATTCTATAACTACTAGAATGGCCATAGCGGTCATTCTGACTAGACTGAACTGAACGCCATTTTTGTCATATCATATTTACATTCGAAAGTCAAGTCACAGTTGATCGTCATGAGTCAAGTCAAGTCACAGCTGATCGTCATGAGTCAAGTCAAGTCACAGCTGATCGTCATGAATCAAGTCAAGTCACAGCTGATCGTCATGAGTCAAGTCACAGTTGATCGTCATGAGTCAAGTCAAGTCACAGCTGATCTTCGTGAGTCAAGTCAAGTCAAGTCACAGCTGATCTTCGTGAGTCAAGTCAAATCACAGCTGATCTTCGTGAGTCAACTCAAGTCACAGCTGATCTTCGCGCTGGTGGAGTTTATAATTGTGAAGTGTCGGCCATTCAATCTGCTGAGGGAGTTTATGGCCATTGTCATGGTCACTATGTGCATTCCCCCTGTCCAAGCACTAATGCCATGTTCACACTGAACGATTTTAGCCCTGATTTTCACTCACAGACAGGTTTTGCAAAATCACTGACAAATGCCCGAAATCGGAGGTAAATCGGTGGATCGTCCAGAGTCATGTCACCTCACAGCTGATCATCCAGAGTCACATCACCTCACAGCTGATCATCCAGAGTCATGTCACTTCACAGCTGATCATCCAGAGTCACGTCACGTCCTGTCTGTTGCACCCAGATTATCAAGGTCAGTCCTTCAGTATCCCAGTCTGGTATCCAGTGTGAGGGATGCACCGCTGGTGTCTGCACATGCAGCTGGTATCCCCAAACCTACTCACTTTAGCCCTCCTGTTCCTGAACTGATTCCCCTGTCTGAAGAGCTTCCCTTGATGGGGATCGCTTTTTGGTGTGTTTGGGCTGCATACACCACCACAGAACTCCCAGAGGCGGTGGCACCCACTATTAGGTCTCCAGAGGTGGCGGCTGAAGCTGCAGAATCTCCTGAGTTAGTGGTGCTCGCTGCTGTGTTCCCTGAAGCAATGGTGCACGCTGCAGTTTCTCTAGAGGTGGCGGCGCATGCTGCAGAACCTCCCGAAGCGGCGGTGCTCGCTTCAGCTCCATGCGTGGTGGCCCAGAAATGCACTTTCAACCTGTCATGTCAAGGTCGAAGGAACCTTTGCCAAACTCTCCCTGTATCCTGAGGGCACTACTGTAGAACCTCCAGAGGTGTCAGTAGTACCCACCTGTGAACTTCCTGTTTGTCCTGTCACGGCTATGGAGGCCATTTGTGAACTCTCTGCCTGTCCTCTCACGGCTAAGGAGGCCGTCTGTGAATCCTCGTCCTACCCTGTCAGGGCTATGGAGGCCGTTTGTGAGCTCTTTGCCTGTCCTGTCACGGCTATAGAGGCCGTTTGTGAACTCTCTGTCCGTCCTGTTGCGGCTACGGAGGCCGTCTGTGAACTCTTTGCCTTGTCTGTCACACCTGAAACTGTCTGTCTGTCTGTCTGTCACAACCCAAAACCCTGTCTTTGAACCCGTAAACCTGCCTGTCATGAGCCCAGAGAATAATAATGCATTCCGTGTCTGTCCATTTAACTCTGTCACTACCCTAGAGAACATTGATGAGCTTCTTGTGTTCTCTGCCTTGGTCCCTGAAACCAGGAATGCACTGCCTGTGTTGTCTGTCTCTGTTTTCTCTAGGCCCCAGTCTCTGCCATGGGTCCCGGCTCTGTCTGCTCTGAGTGTTATATAGTGTGAGTTATTGGATGCAGGTGAGTGCGCAATCAGTGCAGTGGAGCATGGGAGATGTAGTCCATAGTGATGTGTGACAGTCTATGTGGAGTGAGTGTCAATATGGTGAGAGAGCGACCTCTTTTATTCATTGGATGAAAGTCCATGGACTGGATTCGTGACACACACAGTGTGAATTATCAAAGACGTGACCTGAGAGAATCGCCGATGCGTTGCCGACGCTCATTAAATATTTGGCATGCTAAATATCTGGACCTGTCGGCGATTCAAAATCCTGCTGTGTGAAATGAGTTCTGACTGAAAAATACATTGGCGATGACCTACAGCCAATGAGAGAGTAAGATACAGGACAGTGGAAAGTTCGGGGAGGACTTTTTTGCATTTTTTATATAAAGCAATTAGCCATGTACAAACAACATAGCAATATCTTCTATATTAGTAATATTAATAATATTCTATTCCTATTCTATTTTATCTCTAGCACACCTGTACATAAATTTTTTTTGCTTGTTTGTTTATATATACATATGTGTATTTTATTCACATCTTTTTTTTATTATCTGTGTGTTGTTATCTCTGTGTACTGGAAGCTTGTGAAACTAAAACAAATTCCTTATATGTGCAAACATACTTGGCAATAAAGCTCTTTCTGACTTCTGACTAACTTCTGATTGTGCCTCCAAAGTGCCCTCAAGTGCATCCAGTTGGGTGTTTTCAGTAGAGTAAATTATTAGAAAATTTAGATTTTTGAGTGAACCATCCCTTTAATTTTTATTATTATTATTATTATTTACACGAGAATTCAATAGAATATAAAAACAACTAGAACAAAAGTTGCTAGGCAACAGTGACGTGCATCTTCAACCACGGGAAAAAATTACAAAAGCAGAAATTATACGCCGTCTGTAATGCGAATGGTCAATTTGACCGCTTTGGCCATTCAAGGTAGAAATACTCAGAACTCTTTTGTGTTTTGTAATTTTAATAAAATAACAATATTATAGTAAAATATACACACATTTAGGAAAAGTCAGGGTATTATAGTTATTTGGGTTTTATTTCAACAAAGTTATTACATTTCATAATTTAAAAACGGTCAAAATGACTGCCTTGGTAGTTCTAGTGTTAATCGGTCTACACAGCAAGAAACAAGGGATTGCTGTGTGTTTATTTTCACTGAATCATGGCTAAACAACAACATCCCGTACTCCACCATTCAGCTGCATGGGTTAACCTGCTACCGATTGGATAGAGATTCATTACTGTCTGGTAAGACTCGCAGAGGCAGCTTGTGTGTGTATATCAACAAAGAATGGTGTAACAATGCTGTGGTAATATCAAAACACTGTTCGTCGCTGGTGGAGTTTATAATTGTGAAGTGTCGGCCATTCAATCTGCTGAGGGAGTTTATGGCCATTGTCATGGTCACTATGTGCATTCCCCCTGTCCAAGCACTAATGCCATGTTCACACTGAACGATTTTAGCCCTGATTTTCACTCACAGACAGGTTTTGCAAAATCACTGACAAATGCCCGAAATCGGAGGTAAATCGGTGTTCGTTCACGCGAGTGACAATCACACTGTAACGGGGCGACAGAGACGTGAGACGTGCGGATCCATCTGCAAAGCTTTTATTTAAAGGCATGGTCATAAAAACAGGCAAGGTTCTGACAATGGCAAACAGGTATATTGAGGGCAAGACAAAAGAGGAATCCAAAACAAGCAATAATCCAATCGAGGTG